TGGCCAAAGACTTGAAGGCGCCTCAGATCTTCAGACCGAAGGGTCCAAGTCTCACTCCCATAGAGTAGGACGGTCCTCACTGTGGCCTTGTATACACGGTCTTTCAGATGGACGGAAACTCCCTTCTGTCGTCAAAGATGCCGCAGATTCAAGAAAACAGCTCTGACATTTACAGTGCATGAATTGACTTCGGTTTCTATGCGCCCATCGTTGCCGATGCAGCTGCCAAGGGAAGTGAACTGATCAACCACCTCGAGTTCCTCATTAGTAAGGGTCAAGGGGTCATCAAGTGGCTGGTGGTTTTGCAGCAACACTTTACATGTTGAAGGTGCGAAGTGCATGCCAAATAATGGGACCACTCTAGACAGGCCCTCGCAATATCGTCGAAAAGCAAGACGAGATCGACCGCATAATTAAGATCAACTAACATTTCACCAGGCAGGAACTCAACGCTTATATCGAAGGATTCCATGATAGAGTCCATGAGGAAATTGAACAAAAATGGGAAACCTGACAACCCTGACGAACGCTACTTGTGGTCGGAAAGCTATCCGACAGATCACAATAGACCCTGACGCGGCCTGTAGTGTTCAAGTATAGAGTACGTAGGATGTTTATATGTTTCGTGGAAACACCTTTCCGAGCAAGTATTTCGATAAGAACGCATCGATCGACCGAATCGAACACACACTTGAAATCGAGGAACACAGCTATTGTCGGTCTGCGGTATGCATGACACTGCTCTGGCACCTGCCGAAAAGTGAATATATGGTCTATACAGCCACGACCTGGGCGGAAACCGGCCTGCTCTTCCCTGATTAGAGATTCCCGTTCCACAGTGAGGCGATGAACTAGAATTGAGGCCAGTAAGTTTGTCATAACTGGTGTTAGGCTAATACCCCTGTGGTTAAGACAGTCTGTGGGACTTCCATTCTGGTATATTGCAACTATAATCGATTTGCTCCATTTAGCCGGGACACTTCCTTTCAGATAGGTTCGAACAGGGAGGTCAGTGCTTTGCAGAGGACTTCACCTCCATCCTTTAATAGTGCAGGTGGGAAGGAATCCGGGCCAGCGGCACGTAAACGATTGAGGGCTGTGATCACGTTTCGGACCTCGGCCTCCGATGGAGACTCTACGCTAACCGTCTATAGCTCGTCTTGCATCACCTGAGTAGGAAGAAGTCTGGAAGCAGGGGGCCAGCTGAATTGATCTTGAAAGTGTTCCATCCGAGGCATACGGCGCTCCTTTTTGTGTATCAGTGCATCCGCGCTGTCTCTCATTGTCTCGCTGACGCCTGATTTCCTGGGACTAGTGATGCGGATCAGCTGTAATAGCTTGCGGTACGGGCCGACTGTTCCTGTCGCCACCATTTCTTGAGCCCTACTGGTCCACTAGGCTTCCTTGTCCGCACATAGGCTCCACTTTAGTTTGTGGCTAATAGCCCGTCTGCTCACATTGGCCCGCCAATTGTCACTGATGAATGAGGTTGGTGAGCCGAACGCTGATTAGGATCGTATCCAGTGTGCTATGAAGAATGCATTTGACGCTTACTGTGCACCGAACTTGAGACATTGCAGCTGTGAATGGATCACTGAAGCATTGATCAATTTGATCGAAGCAGGGAAACGGGTTAAAATGGGCACTGGATTTAAGCGTATCCGTAACTCCCTGAAACGAGATCCGACAAGGAGTTGGAATCGACCTGGAACGTTGGTAGGTGGCAAAGGTCTGTGAGATGGAGAACGCCAGTGATATTGGAAACAGCCAAGTGCTATTCCGGAACACGGACCTGAGGAAGTCATCAGTTACCGAGACAATAGCTGAGAAAGATGGATAATTGTTTCTTGCCCAGCTTCGACCAGGCCGTTTGGCGAAACATTTTGGAGACCAGTTCAGCAGGCGTGATGCCACACCGCTCTTTGCAGAAACACCTTAGCCGAAGTGGGAAGTTGATGTCACACCTACTTTGGAAGAGATTCGACATCAGGTTTCCGTGTTGAAACGAAACAATTCTTCTGTATCGGATGATCTTCTATCTTCGTTGAAAGATTGAGATGACTCTTTGTTGACTGGACTTGATTCTGTCTAACACAATTTGATAAGCCGAAGAAGTGCCTTCAGACTGGCGTCTATCAACTGTTGTGCCTATTTTCAAGGATGATCAGTGTACTTTGTGCGAAAATAATCGAGGCATTAGCCACATTTCTATTGCATCCAAACATCATATGCATAATGTAATACATCTTTTTGCGGAACAATAGCCAGTTGTTAGCTCTCCGGAACGATGTCCATCCGTTATCGGAGACACAGCTGGCATGCCTTCGTCGCACTTTTTTTAAATGTACTGCGGCAAAAAAGCTGAGGTATTTTCCACCTCTAGCTAACGTGTATAAGGTTGATGAGAAATGCCTCCAAACCACACGCGTATCATTTTTCGACCACTTACTGATCTCCGCGAAAACTGTATCAATGAAAGCTAGGCTGGTTCCGCCCTGGTCATGGTTGTATCGATCACATATTTACTCTTCGCCAAATATTAGAGCAGACATAAAAAGGACCGACAATGGTGGTTCTTCTTGACTTGAAAGCGGCGTTCGACTCTGTTGACCGCGCCAGCCTGTGGCACTGCCTTTCCATGAACATACCAACTAAACTCGTCCATTTCAAAGTCTCCATCGTGATCCCCGAGTCCGTGTAATGGTCTACGAAACTATTAGCTGAGTTTCTCAGGATAAGCTGGGTTCACTAGGGTTGGACTACATCTCAATGTTTCTTCAATTTTGTGATCGAAATGATCATGAAATACTCGTTTCTTTCAAATTCTATCGGAGTGATAGTCTAACCACGTGACCAACTGATAAACTTTGAATGTGCGGACCACATGGCTGCTTTTGGGTCTGACGTATTGAATATGCAGTCACTACTGACTAGACTGGTGAGGAGCGTCGCCCACTTCGGCATGTGCTTTGCATGGACCATCCATGGTTCGGAAACCCTTGCAAGGAGCTAGGTTCCAGTCATCGCTGGATTTAAGTTCCGAAGCTAAGGTGACATCTAAGTCAACTTACTGGGACACATGAGGTAATTTGTTCCCGTCGAGTACGTAGTGGGTCGTTGGGCCATTTGACCCTACACGCATAGGCGAACATTTTGTGTGGTTTACTGGAAACTGCCACAGAACGGACCAATCAGTCAGCCAAGAGCTAGCTGCGAAGCTTGAGAGAAACCAGAGTTGCTGACCGTGCACCAGAAGTTCAAGTCGTCCGCGAAGATGAGGCAGGCACCCCCAGTACTTCCGGCAGTTTGTTAACATACATAGCAAATAGCAGCTGATTAAGTACTGGTCCCTGTGGGACGACGCTCAGAATAGCTTGTCAGAAGGAAAGACCGGAGCCTACTCAGACAAAAATTTTTCGCCATTCGATAAATGCGGATAGCCATTGAAGCGCGTGTCCGGAGACGCGACAGGAAAGCATCTTAAGCAAAAGACGAGAATGTGAAACGGAGTCGAAGGCTTTAGAAGTCAATGAGCAGTAAGCCCATTGCTTGGCCCTGGTCAACAGACTCCGCCCAGCTCTCTCGAGCAACCAGCAGATTGGTCAGACAGGAATATCCTTTGGGAAAAGTATGTTGAAATAGATTGGGAAGAGCAAACGCCCCGAAATGGTCTTCAAGGGTATCCCTCACCAGGTTCTCTTGCGGTTTTTCCAGCACGTTGGATAAACTAACGGGCCTATAACTTACAAAAATGTGTCTATCACCCATTTTAAAGAGGGGGAAGGTAACAACTAGTTTCCAGTCAGTAAGAAACGCGCAACTGGCAATACTATTCATACAAGCACGTTACGGACTCATAAACTTTATACTCTGGTTTATTCGAGTTTGCGAATGAATGGCATCAATATCAGCAGCTTTAGTATGATCGAGCTCGTAGCGGTGAAAGCATTCGTGTCTGATACGGATATCAGTCAATCAGGAGTCAGACGGAATTTTTTCCTCTAAATCGATAGTTGGTAACGTGAACTCTAGGACAAAGGTCGTATATGGTTCGTCGAGAAGACAATCCTTGTCGTGATCAGTGTGCGCGGTAACCCCACTGGATCCATGCAACACTGGAATCTATGAATTAGCACGGTCTCGTCTTGAAATAAGCGAAAAACCGCTTCAGGTTGGTTAAGTTATGTTAGTTAGTTAGTTCCGTTTGACAACGAAGTCGAGCGTCTCATAGATGGTGCATACATGCGTTCCGTGCTGGTGAATAAGACTGCAAGGCACCGTCAGATTGATTCGGAATATAATACCGACAACACTTGGACCATCTGTTCAACCGTTGATGTGCAGTTAGATCAAATCATGATAGTCCGGCGTTTTCTTTCCTCCAAAATAAAAGCGGAATGTAGGGAAGGGGCACATTAGAAAGAAACATGTTGATCTTTGCCCACGCCGTCTGGATATCGTCTGCTGCCAGTGGTGCATGGTGACAGGGTAGCTCCGAACCTCATTGCATACGCCATCAGTTTTCCTAATCGATTCGCACTTCAGCGAGCGTGCGGCATCAGTCCACAAAGGAATCATCTGTACTACATGTCTCCATCGCAAGGCGGAAGTTAGCGACAATTCTGTCCGTAATGCAACGTATAGCATATAATTGATGGTACATCAGTATGTGTGTAACGGCGCACTATATTAATGGCCACAGGACACGTTCGCAATCGCGGAAACTAGTACGCAAGTGCCAATAAATGCTTGTTCAGAAGAATACAGTAGTTATGCGAAGGAAAAGTACTGAGAGGAAGGATATATGTAGCAATTAAAAGCATAACGAGGAGCAATACCAATCGATTTTACCATAGTAAAGCCTAAAATATTTGTTTCGTAAGCAGTAAGAAAAATGTAAATGTCGTGAATAACTCGGTAGAAAACGTCACATCGTCAGAAAAGGCAATAAGGCCTAGCAAAACCAATAATATAGCAGTGCTTATTTTCTAGCAAAATACCTGAAGTGAACCCATATGTGCTTCATTGTAGAGCAGAATATTTCGCAGGGCTAGGCAGCGATAGAGAGAATGCGCCGCCGCTGTGCGCGGGAACGGAATCGCCGAACAATCAACCTTGAGAGGGAATACACATGAAGGACGCCTGCTGGACCTAAACTTGTACCATTACTAAACCAATCAATACGCAACCACAAAATACCTAGCCACTTTCATAAAAAAGTGACAAATGCAAACTCTTTGCCGATAAAATTTGTACGTTATAGGTTTCAAACTGCTCTTTTGTTATTTCGTTGCAGTAATTAAAAGGAAATATCTGTCTAACAACTATGTACAGAATAAAGTCAAGAAGTTACACTAGGGAATTTATAAGACTTGGGTAATGGCACAGTGGATGGTGGCACGTAGTGGGTTTTGGCACAAAAGCAAATAGGTATTACACAAAATGGATTTCTTCGATGAATGTGAAGTTACTCCGTAATATCCGTTTATGATAATAATAGTTTTCCATGATACGTAAATTTCCAAGCTTGTTCCTACGTACGGTAAACTAATGGGTTAACAATTTTCCAATAATGGCCGTGTCCTGTTTAAAAGAACGCAAAATGGTTTTTCAACTACCTTGTTTGTAAACAAACACATTTTATAAGCATAGAAAAATGTTCAAGAATGTTAAACGACTATTTGATGTATTAGAGAAGATCCAGAACCTCCTTATAAAGTTGTGAATCGATGTAATATCATTAGTCTTTGGCGACATCCTCTAACAACACCCGCCGCGAACTCAACACTAGGCGAGGTGAATGAATGTCGACTGAAGCCTTAGGAATTAAATAACGTGGCGGTCGACTTTTTGAGAAAATGGGTTAATCAATATCTTTTTGGGAATGCGCACTTTGTTTGCACTAAATCGTCTTGACGATGTCCCAAATAACTATTAGGCAATGCTGGTTAATATATTTTTTCTGGCACGGTAGAGCAATCGCGTAGAACATCTATAGTCCGCGTACCAGAGACCGTTTACCAGAACAAGCAAAGTTTTCAGACATGCAGCTTAATTTCTAGTGCTTTATATCTATACCAAACGGGAGCCAATAAGTGACTCCTTTTAGAACCCTGACAAAGTTCCATTTCAAGCAAGTGGAGAGGTAAGCTGGCCACATGTTTTGATGTCATCTACTGCTTTCCAAAGGACATTACGCCAAGTACAATTAAAAATCTGCCTTCTATGCTCCAACACAAGTACAGAAAACGTGTTCGCAAATTCACAGTGCTTTGGGAATAAATTCCATCGTTAAATACTTTTGATGATAAACTCAACGGTTTTTTCAGTCAGCAATTTACACTAACAACTTCAGCTGGTGATCCCTAGACGGTACGATGCTTCAAACTTTAAGGAGTCGGCGACGGAAGCAAGCCTCTTTTAAACATGATTAGCAACTATTTTTCTACCCTATAGTATCTTGCTTCGATTGCGCTGTGCCGATCCGCTTACAAGACATTGATAAATGCTGCATCCAGGGAAGGGAAGGAACAACGTGGTAAAACGAGCGAAATCATCAAACATGCCTGTGTAAGTACAAGAGCTTGGAGATCAAAATCACATTGGAACATTGGAACATTGTATTTAATGGGAATAAAAGCTGGAGCTTTACATGACCCATAGGGTAAAAAGAGTACGGGTCGGGTTTAATGAAAGGCCAATCAACCTTATAGCGGGTTGGACTCGCGTGTTAGCCGTATCTTCATCGGGCTTATGTGGCATTTAAACAGAATGCACGCCGGCTCAAAGCGAGACATCCCACCACGCCCTCCGAAACGGCTTTGGAAAGGAAGGTGGAAGAAAAAAAAGGAAGAAAGAAATTCCATCCAGTAGAATGTAGTTAAATTAGGGAATATCGCGGTGTAGCTAGACCAGATGACAGTCCAAGCGGGCCTTGAAGTCCGCCACAGTGGGTGCCAAGACAAAATCGGCCGGCAGAGCATTCCACGGTCGGCAGATTAGCAAAGAGAAGTAGTGTCGTCTGCAGTTCAGCCGACTGTGCTGATGTGTGAGCCTCAGTGGGTGGCCACGTAGGTGGGAGCCCGATTGGTGCAGTGTGAGTAGGTGGCGACAGGGATGTCCAGGGTTGGATAAGATCATGAATACGAGGATCAGGTCGCCCCGTAGACGTCGGTACTTAAGCGAGTAGAGGCCCAGGCACTGAAGTCGTTGTGGATAATCTAGGTGCTTGAGACCTCGGACCAGTTTGGTTGCTCGACGTTGTGGGGCTTCGAGTATGCGTTGGTCCTTCAACAACCAAGGGCTCCAAGCCTGAATAGCGAACTCCAAGTGGGGTCGGAGAAAAGCGTTAAGGAGGAGGCGGAAATTGCTGGGGTCAATTTGACCGAAGGCTCGTTTCAGCAATCCCACCATGCGGTTAGCAGCAGCAGCTGCTTTCCGGCAGGGAGCGGATACGGAAAGACTAGTCTGGGTAATGATACCCAAGTCTCTTTCGGCTGAAGAGATCTGGAGGATAGACGCTCCCAGGTAATATACAGGAGAAAAAGCGGAAGGGCGGGTAGAAAGGACGCGACATTTCGAAGCGTTAAATGGAAGGTTATTTTCTATGGACCACTGATTTAGACGGTCGAGGTCCATCTGAAGTGCGTGGGCATCGTCCGGATGGTTACTTGTGCGCCACAGCTTGGCGTCGTCCGCGTATAGTAGCAGCGAGGACTCCACTTGCGGTGTGACGTCGTCAATGAAGGCTAGGAAGAGGTGCGGTCCGAGAGCAGACCCCTGTGGAACTCCGCTTGTGGCAAGGATGCGGAGAGACAACGCTCCGTCGACGCGTACTTGGAAGGTACGGTTTTGGAGGTAGTTCCGGATCCAGTCCATCAAGTCCCCTGAAACGCCGTAAGATGACAGTTTCCGCAGCAGAATCTTGTGGTCGACCTTGTCGGAGGCTTTGGCGAAATCCAGAAAGACAACATGCGTTTCTTGGCCAGAGTCGGCTGCAGTGGTCCAGCTGTCCCTGGCAAGTAGCAGGTTACTCAGGCAAGACCGCTGAAGCCGTAAACCGTGCTGGCAATCAGAGAGCAGTTTCTGGGTCTCCATGTGATCCGTTAAAGCGTCTGCGACGATCGATTCCATCACTTTGGAGATCGTAGATAGGAGAGTTATCGGTCGGTAATTGGCCGGATCTTTGCGAGTACCGCCTTTGTAGATTGGTGTAATAGTCCCACATTTCCAATCATTGGGAACTTTGCTTTGCAAGAAGAAGTGGGTGAAGAGCTCCGCTAGGGGTAAAGCTAGAGCTGCAGCGCACGCTCGCAAGAGCCGTGGGTGGAAACCATCAGCGCCAGGAGAGGCCGTTAGCCGCAGGGACTTGAGTTTCGCCAGGACCTTCTTCGGAGTGGAATGAACAGTCGTCAGGGAAGTTGAGAGTGAAACCGAAGAAGGTACCGTCGTTGTGTGCAGTGATGGAACGGAGAATGTGGATGCGTACTGCTTGCACAGAACGTCCGCTGCCTCGGTAGCTGATTTCGTGAGCCCTGTGGGGGTCGTCAATGCGGTGACACCGTGTTTGACTTGTCGAAGACTATTGACGTGTCTATACAAGGCTTTGGGATTGGATGAAAATTTACGCATAAGTTGACGCTGGTGCTCACTCTTATCTTCTCGTACAAGATGGACGCATTGGTTACGGATGGATCGGTAATATTCCCACTGAGTGGCCGTTGGATGGGAGCGATAGTTTCTCCATGCCGTGTTCCTGGAGGCAATCTATTTTCGTGTACGACTTCGGATGAGTGCTGGGCGTCTCTTCCTTATGGAAACTTCTTTGCACGTCGTCGTAGTGGAGCAGAGTTCACGTAGGGTAAGGCAAAAGCTTGACCACACGCTGTCGGCGCTCGATTAGGGCTCGGGTGACCAGTTGTTAGCGGAAATGAGAAGGTTCAACTTTCCGTAATCAGTCCAGCGTTTGATATAAGTTGGCGTGCTGACGAGTTTTTCGGCGAAGCATATAAAATCGAAACGGAGGTCGCAGTGGTCGCCAAGCCCCAAAGGGGCATCATATTCAACGTGCTCAACCATCAGTTCTTCGTTAGTGAGGATGAGATCTAGCAAGACGTTTGGTTGTTGGATATGAATCTGGTCGGCTGAATAGTGTGGTTGTACAACGGGGCCGTGTGAAGAAGATCAATGAGGCCTGATGCAAAGGAGTTAGTAGACGGGACAGAGTGAAATAGACGGGGCAGATTGAAATCACCCATAATAAGAAAGTGTGTGCGCTTGTGGGATAACATAAGGTGGACGTCGTGCAGTAGTCGTGCATCCTTCTCGGGAGAGTTGTTTGGGGGGCGGTAAATGATACCAAGACAGCTGGAGTGTTTGGTGGTTAGTACGACCTCGCACCACATGGTGTCTGGAGACTGGAGGGAGGTGTTTGTTAACATGCTGCAGCTGAGGGAGATGTCATAGTACAGTGCGACACCGCCACCTGGGGTTGCGCGGTCAGAGCGGAGAACTGACATGTGAGGAAGCTGGATTTCACCGTCGGTTATGTCGCCGGAGAGCCACGTTTCCGTTATGGCTATTAGGTCCGCTGGTGTTGATAGAAGTCGGAATTGGAGCTCCGGAAGTTTGGACATGAGGCCCTGTGCGTTCGTGTAGATACAGGTGAGGCCCGTTTGGGTGATGAGCGCGGAGTAACTAGGGTGCTGCCGGTCAGCAGATGACCGGCAGTGCACCGTTTTTTTGGTTTAGAGGGGTGGAGCCGCTAAGGTTTGTAGTTGGGGAAACAAGGTGTGGGTCGTCGGAGCCCAGATGGGTGCTGGCGGATGGGTCGTTGAAAGTCTGAAGGTTGGAATGTGTAGGTGAGTAAAGTTCTTCAGGCAGTGAGGCAGGTGGTTCGGTGGTGGACCGACTGAGGACGAACTGGTCAGAGTGTGTCGGTACCGAGTTTGCTGCTGCTGCTGCCAGGGGTCTGTGGGAAGCTGTGCGCCTCGGCACCGGGTGCCCATCTGGACGCAGACGGATATCTGGTGGTGCTCGTCTTTTATTAGCATACCAGATGGTGAGTGCATCGGTTGCCATGCTAGCGCTGAGGAATGTCACTTTCAGAAGACGGGGGGCTGTTCCTGTATAAGTTGCTGGACGAGGTAGGCGGTGAACGTCCGTTGTGATTACGTTGACAATATTTAGTGTCTGCAGAAGATAATTGCGTGTGTGGTTAGGCAACAAATACGGTACCAGTAAACAAGACACCGATTGACCTTTTTTCGGGCGTG